CCCCCCCTCCGCCTTTGATCTGCCAAAATCCTCTTTTTCTTTTAGAAAGACAAGCTTCATCTCCATTGTGAATAGGAGGTACAGAGCCCCTGATTGGCTTAATAAATAGTGCCTGTGATCTGAGCTGTCCAGTGCCCACACAATGATTACAGTCATTGTGGGCACACTAGCTGAATGTGTTTCCTACCATATGGTTGTACGGAGGAGGTAAAGGGGAGTCTAAGTATCCCCCCCCCAAAAGCAAGGTATACTCACCCATCTAGCCATTTTATTAAATACATCTGTACATTTCCAACAAAGCATATTTTGGAATTTTAACCAAGAGAATTGTGAGATCTGTGAAGGTTGGCGGTTCTACTCCTGAATAGGGAACCAAGCAATAAATACCTGCTGATCTGGAGATATGGATTCCAGTGCTTTCTGAATGACCCGGCAGCCGTACATCTGTAAAGCCAGAGGAAGTACGTGTCCGCGTATCCGCGTCGCCAGTGCCAACTTCTGATCCATGCTGCCAAACTGAAAGATAAGCTGTGATGCTGAAACTGAATTTGAATCGGGTAAACTTCATTATCAAACAACGGGCAAAGGGGGACAAGTCCATAGACACGGAAGACATTTTTACTTCCGAAAAATTTCATCCAAAATAGAAGTGAGCAGAAATCGACCCAAATCAGACACCATTGAAAAACCAAAAAAGTTTCTAAGCCTTCCCCCACTCTATCCAAAACAAGGGTCATATTAGAGTAACTGAAGCAAAGGTATTCATCCTGAAAAACCAGAGACTCGAAACACTCTAGCATCCTCCTTGGATCTGCCATGTCTGGGTGTAATTTGATTTGACACGTGCAGGGTAAAAGAAGCTAGTTTCCAGGACAGAGACAGAACTGTGACAACTAGGGATGCAGCAAAATTTTGGTCGAAAATGGCAGGTTTGGCAAAATGCAGAAAGTGCCATCTTTCAGTCGAAATTGCAGTGCCATCCTTGATTTCCCTCCTCCCCGCCGGGCACAGCTCTATGGTCCTCTGACGAAGCACAGCATCCAGCAGGGAGAGCGATGTGAGCGCCCAGCGTGTCACAGGAGGCCGGGCTCTCCTCCCGCACCGCCACTCTCAGCCTTCTCTGACAAATCAGGATGGAGAGCAGTGTGGGGGTAGAGACAGCCGTGCGCCGTCACAGGAGGCAGAGTCAGCAGTCAGAGGAGTCAGCTGTCAAAAATAGACCGAGCTCTCCTCCACGCACCGCTGGCTCAGCTGTGACAGCCGATCCAGGATGTAGTCAGTCATCGCTGACTGTTTGTAAATAACTTGACACAGTATGAGTTACTATATACCAATAATGAATGAATAGGAAGTAATCTACACCATTTCATGTTCATTCATGATTGTGGACATGGTAAACATACTATCTCCACAAGTTATGAATGAACAGGAACACTCAGTATAGAGGATTCCTGCTCATTCAGCGCTGGGGCTGCAAAAAAGAGATTGAGTACTCTGCATCCTAAATCTCTTTTCCTTTTTAAAAGGGAAATTAACAGGGGTCTGTTTAGATGCCTGATATTTTACCAAAGCCCCCTACAGTTAAATAAAATTTTTTTATAAAAATACAATATTTGAAAAATGCAAAAAGGTTAGAGAGAAAAAAAAAATTTGTTTCGGCCTGACTTTTTCAATTTTCGGGTTGGAAATGTTCATTTTGGTGCACATCTAGAGACATGTTCACCAATACTGAAACAGCTCTGAACGGTACTCTGTCGATAACTGAAATAACACATCACAGTGCTATAAAAACAGAAAATGGCTTACTTCAAAAAACTTCTGAATTACATAATTTCCAAAGACGTCTGTCATCAGCTGATAGGCCGCCTGGAGGATCTCTCCAAACACTACTTGACGTTCTGCTGGAGTGGCACGTTCCAACTTCTGCTGGATGAACCTGGAGGTCAGATAAATGTTTAGAATATATTAAGTGTGAGCTCACTCACCAACATCCCCTCTGCCTTACCGGGAATCCACTTTCAGCCATGGCTTTACTACCCTTCCAGAAGAACTAGTACTGGAGATAAGCCCCATGTTCAATCAGCCAGAGGCACAATGGCTGAAAGATCATTTACTTTTGTCTATTAAAAAGGTGGAAAAGAGTGGAAAAAGCAAGCAACCATTGCATCGTTCTACACATTCAAGTGGACACAATGTGCAGTCACCATTATCCGGCTTTAATTTGTTCCTCTGTCACAGAAAAAAGAAGCCCTGTCCAAGAACATATCTGCCGAGGACCTTAAAGCAAAGATTATAGACACCAATGACCCTTTGAGAATACCCATTAACCTCCCTAAGGGCTGGTTTACCACAAAGTGTGTGTTCCAGAGCGTTCGGGCCTCTGGAACGCAAGACGGCCAGTTCCTTCCGTTTAGGGGCGGGAGGAGGCATGGCGGTGAATTGAAGTCAATAGCACTGCAGCCATGAACCTGCCCGCACCCGAACGCGTGGCACATTAGTGCCTGCGTTCCGGTCCAGTGCGGTCTGTAAAAATAGTGCTCGCAGCGCAGGGAGCCGGCCAGCTTGCGTTCCAGAGGCCGAACATTCTGGAACGCACACTTTGTGGTGTGAACTGGCCCTTAAAAGGTTCTCTTCTTCCTTTTCTTAGCTTATATTAGGGAGTCACAGGGACATTTGTGGCAACAGTATCTCTATGGTGGCTACTAAATAGTGGAATACAACTGGCTTGTTTGGCATAACTATGGCATCACTTAAGATGACAAAGAAAATCATTTTATCTTTAAGGACAAACAAGGCTTTTTTATGGTGATCATGTCTTGCAAAAAAAATTATTTTATTTTCACATACTCCTGGCTGAACTGCCAGCAAATGTGGGTGAAAAGACAGGACGTACTATACATGTCCTGTGCAATTCCATGACATTTTCTGGGCGTGTGTAGTACGTCCAGTGCCCACAACTGGTTCTTATACATAAACTAATTTCCTCCTGCTGTAGCTGGCACAGATATAAACCCACCTGGAGCCATGCTGGTCTTGGGAAAACTCAACAATGTGCCCAATCAGATCCCTGAGCTGTAGATTGGGGAAGCGGTTGTTACGGAAGTCCTCCAGCAGTCTGCTGCGTCCAGAGGGCATGATGTCGGATCGGCTGTATCGCAGGCGGGAGGGCGGGAACAGCTGGCTGCTGGAACTGAAGAAGCTAGATGTGCTTGCAGCACTGCGGTACTTGGCCTCGGCTCCAGGGGCAGCGGATATATAGCGCCCGCTGCCATTGGTCAGCCCGCCTGGAAGAGGAAGTATTATTTTATTAGTTTGCATGCATACATCTACAACAATAGCCAAGGATATAATGCTTCTAAAAAGTATTCTTCCAGAGTAATCAGTGTTCTAGGAATTCTGCAAATGAGTCGCTGGTAATAAACATTTTATTATAAAAGACCATTAAAAAGTATCGTCAATATCAAAATGAACACAATCTGCTAAATGCATATTCTGATATAAGGATTTGTGGGCCAAGTCAAAGCTGTGGCATGTGCCAATCAGTAGCACTGCCTTATTCAGGAGGGGAGCTGATATTTGTATATAGCATAATATTGGCCTTTTCTCTGAGCTTGTTAAAAGAAGAGGAAGCTTCAATATCAGGCCATGGGCATTTGTCTTTTATTCATTCAAAAGTTGCAGGAAGGCCTGTACTGGAGCACATATACCAGCTTTCGTCATGTGTGCAATCGGAGTAGGGGTTTCTGTTTTGTTGTAAGCTACACACCAAAGCAGTATAATGATAATGACTGGCTTCATTCTCTCCTATAGGTCTAACACGTTGCAGATTACATTTTCATCCGCCTGACAGAATAGCCAATAGTCAGCTTTGATTTGTGGGAATGATTGTCTAACAACCCCATAGATGGAGCTCCACAAACACCTGAGCATCAGATTCGCACTGCATTATGACCACTAGATGGAGCCGGAGAGCAAGGGCATTTGCTCTGCAAACTTTTTATAACTACACCCCCAAGTCTTAGAGAATTATGGAAAGAGTGAAATACACTCATTCCCATAATTAGAGAGTGACACTGAAGCTGTCGCTTGTCGGTTTTATTTTAAATCGGGAAATGAGCGATCACAAACCACAGATCACTCCGTTCATGACCTTCTCCCTGCAGAGAGTGGTGACCGTTAGTCACGACTCCCCACAGGGATTCCCCCCTCCCTTCTCTGTTCCACCAGCGAAGACTGGAGGAACGGATGGGTGAGGTGGGCAGGCAGAACCAGCTGTCAATCCGGCAGCAGGGTGGACCCCGACAACAGTGCGTGACTGCGCTGGCAGCATATAACTATGCTGAGTTTTGGGTCACAGGAGGATATTAGTATATGTCCTCCTGTGACCCTAAAGAGAACTATGGTTAAAAAAAAAAGGTTGGGTGCCATAGTGCTCTTTTAAATATACACCTGACCCCTTTAGGGACTGCTAAACATCATTGATACTCAGAATATAGAAATGTACTCTTGTATGTTGTATGAATAGACTTTACGCTCCCCTGGTACGGGGACACAAGTGATTGTGGTGTAATACATTAACATTCTAGAAACAGTGCAACACAGACCAATGTCCTATAAAACCAACAAAGGTGTGCACCCATTTGCTGAATGGTAGAGATGTGGGAGACCATGTTTTCATCTAAAACCCCAATTGCAAAAAAGCTGGGACACGGAAATTTACATTAAAACAGAATCCAATGATCTGCAAATCTCAAAATCATATTTTATTCACAATGGAAAATAGAAAACATTAAATGTTAAAACTGAGAAAATGGACCATTTTAGGAAAAAAATTAAATTATGAATGGCAGAAACACGTCTCAAAAAAGTTGGGACGGGCAACAAAAAGCTGGCAAAGTAAGTGGTACTAACAAGGAAGAGCTGGAAGAACATTTTGCAAATAATCAGGTTAATTGGCAACAGATCAGTAACATGATTGGGTATAAAAAGAGCATCTTAGAGAGTCCGTGTCTCAGAAGTAAAGATGGGCCAAAGTTCACCTGTGAAAAGCTGCATCTAAAAATTATCAAACAATTTCAGAATAATGTTCCTCAACGTAAAATTGCAAAGACGGTAAATTCATCATCATCTACAGTACATAATATCATCAAAGTATTCCGAGAATCTGGAGAAATCTCTGTGCACAAGGGACAAGGCCGAAATGCAATATTGGATGCCTGTGATCTTCAGGCCTTCAGACAGCACTGCATGGGCTCAGGAATACTTCCAAAAATCACTGTCTGTGGGCACAGTTCACCGTGCCATCCAAGAATACATGTCAAAGCTTGATCATGCAAAGAAGGAGCCATATCTGAACATGATCCAGAAACGCTGCCATCTACTCTGGGCCGAAGCTTATTTATAAAATGGTCTGTTGCAAAGTGGAAAACTGTTCTGTGGTCCGATTAAATGAAATTTGACATTCTTTTTTGGCAACCATGGGCGCTGCGTCCTCCGGACTAAAGAGGAGAGGGACCTTCCGTTTTGTTATCAGCGCTCACTTCAAAAGCATGCATCTCTGCTGGTATGGGGGTACATTAGTGTGTATGGAATGGGCAGCTTGCACATCTGGAAAGGCACCATCAATGCTGAAATATATATCCAAGTTTTAGAGCAGCATATGCTCCCATCCAGATGACGTCTTCTTCAGGGAAGGCCTTTTATATTTCAGCAGAACAATGCAAAACCATATACTGCATCTATGACAACAGCATGGCTTCGTAGTAGAAGAGTCCGGGCGTTTAACTGGCCTGCCTGCAGTCCAGACCTTTCAGCAATGGAAAATATTTGGCACATCTTGAAACGACAAAGACGACCTAGGACTGATGAGCATTTTGAATCCTATATCAGGCAAGAATGGGACAACATTCCTCTCCCAAAACTCCAGCAACTGGTCTCCTCATCTCCCAGACATTCACATAGTGTTGTTCAAAGAGGGGATGTTACACCGTGGTAAACATGGCTCTGTGCTATCTTTTTTGAGACGTGTTGCTGCCATCAATTTCAAAATTACCTTATTTGTTTCTTAAAATGGTAAATGTTCTCAGTTTAAACATTTGTTATGTTTTCGGCTTTCTATTGGGAATACAATATGAGATTTGCAAATCATTGCATTCTGTTCTTATGTAGATTTTACACAGCGTCCCAACTTTGTTTGAATTGTGGTTGCAGTAGAAGGCTGGCTGTGGTGTCTGGGTGTGAGGAGAACACCAGGCTGGTGTGTTTTGCACCATGAAAACAGTTTACGTTGCATCCAGGGCCACGTGTGGCCGAAGAAAAAGCAGCAGTATGGGCCAAGTAGAAGTACGCTTGTGTTGACTGCACATATGGCAGATCCATGGATTCAGGGAGGCACGGCTATCACATTTTACAGTATAAGAAATACAAGGCGTTTTCCCTTTGCTTTATATCATGGCCACACAGTGATTGATGTGTCCACCTCAAGAAAGCATGTAAGATGTTCACAATTTAACAGCAACACAGTGGCCAACATATATCCATGATTCTCTGCTCATTTACGAAAAGCACCATTGAAGAGGAGCAGGGTACATTGCCGGCCTTGTTGCGCTGTCCACATAATGAGCCTCTTTCCAGGGAACAGGAGGGCAGTTCATCAAAACGCATGAGAGCAGCAGAGGAGGGGAATATCAGATTGGGCCGTATGTGAGAGAAACAGATCAGGGAGAAGAAGAAAAAAAGTCATAGGCCAAGGAGGAGGGTGGGTGGAGAAGAACATTGACACAGAGGGGGGTGTAGAGGCTCAGGCCAGAGACATGTGTGCGTATGTGCAGAAGAGCTGGGATAGCATGTTCCCAGGACAGTGAATGCAGGAGGTACAGATGAAAACCTGGTAATGAAACATCTGAAGAAGGCAATGGAAGTGGACTTTGGTCACAAAGCAGACAGATGGATGGTTGGTAACTGGAATACATAAGTGGGAAGCCAGCTGACCGATTCCCTGGCCTCTGCCTGCTTTCAGTACTAAGGGACGCAATAGCACCCATACTTACTATAGTACCACCTTCTTTTATACCAAAAAATATTTCATCCAAAAAGAAGTTCACATGACAAATGGAAAGTTTCACATGAATCTCAGACAAATCAAAATTACATTTAAATCAGAATACACACAGCCACAAAACCACACAGATAAAAACTTTTGCTTTACCTAAATGCAAACTGGATGAAGATCCGTGTGATGGGAGGGATGGTGGTGGTGTTAGTGAATGTCCTGGCGTTTGGCTTGGAAGAGGCATGCCTATTGGACTCGGAGAGGATGAGAAGCCCAGGCTATTGTAAAAGGGCTGCCCTATGGGTGCCAGGCTGCTGCTAGACCTTTTGTACAAGTCTGAGCTAGCAGACAAGGAATCTCTCCTTGAGCCACTACTACCCGTGGAATTGCCAACTGAATAAAAATAAGACAAACAAAAACCAATTAAAACACAGTGATCGAAAAAAAGAACATCTCAAACTCACTTCTGGGAAACACATTATGAGAACAAACAAGCAATTAGAAATAAAAAAAGGAATATGAGCACAGACGACAGGTATTTATAGAACAAGATGCACCAATCAATTCAGAATGTGTCAAAGCCTAATAATCAATGCTTTGATACATGTATATTCCACCAGATAAGTGTGAGTTCATTTATAAAAATGTCTGTTACATCTAGCCTATATTAAATGGAGGGAGGGGGGTCAGTGAACAGGCACTGGTTTATAAGAAGGAATACGTTTCTCTCGATCATCGCCCTGCAGAGAGCGGTGACTGTCACTCAACACAGGGACCCCCCCCCGCCCCCCTCCGATCCTCCAGCGCTGACTGGAGGAACAGACAGAGGGGGCGGGCACAGCTGGCTCTGCCTCTAGATAGGCAGAGCCTGCTGTCAATCAGGCAGCTGGGTGAATATCGACAGTATTGTTGGGATCTGTCCCGGTTGCAGTGCTCTCAGTATATAGCTCGCTATATACTGAGCTTGGGGTCAAGCGAGGACGTTCGTATATGTCCTCCTGTGACCCTAAAGAGAACTATGGGATAAAAAGGTTACTCCCATCTATTAACAACACTGTATCCTATTGGTGCATCACTCAGCTGTAGATCCTCAAATCACCTCTATATTCTGTAGAGTGGCTTCCAATTCAGAGATGATTTGAGGATCTGCAGCCGAGTGATACACAAATAGGATACATTTTTGTTAATAGTTGCGGTACCTTAATGTATTTTTAAGATTTAACTCCTGAGTTTACTGTCACTTGAAGCCATATGGGCAGGACAGCAGAGAATCAGCATTTTAGGGGGCGAGGCAACCAATGGCAGCCCTCAATTGCTCAGGACAGATTTACTTTAAGGTGTTTATACACTGCAAGAGAAAATGTTGAACTCTGTATTAGCTTTTTCATTAAAAAAAGGTGTAGTGTGTAGTGACCCAAGACTACCAATTGATTGAGTGCTTTGACTACACTAAGCAGCTGAAATATGACAATTTGGTAAGAGTAAAATTGGTAAAATTTGGATGGCCTTATACAGACAGACAACCATGGGTGGAAAGACAGCTGTGTGTTCTCTAAATGGCTGCCATCTTTTCCTGACTAACTTAGGTAAAATGCTGATTCTCTGCCGTCATGCCCATATGGATTCAAGTGACAGTAAACTCAGGAGTTAAATGTTAAAAATACAGCGCAGGGAGATAAAAAGGGAAAACGTGCCTACTAGAGAATTTATCTGAAGGCTAGATGTGCTCATTATTTCCTCAAAATTAACCCAATATGGCCTTACTCTCCCCAAATCACTGCAAGCATGGTGCATTGTTTACAAGGATTGGGGCTTTGCCTGGTAACACTTTTTTTGTTGAGAAGTCAGGAATAAAAGATGTTAACGCCAGTGACCTACCTGATGATCCAAATCCTCCAAAGGCTGAGCCGATAGCTGCTCCCAGAGAGCTGTTGCTGCTGCTGCTGAACCCCAGCGAAGTGTTGCCAGGCTGACCCTGGCCATGTGAAAATAAAGAGCTGCTCTGGGAATTGTTGGTCATAGAGTTATTCCCGTAGAATGAACTGGAATGGAGGTTGGCGTTTTGCTGCGACTGCTGCTGTTGCTGCTGAGGGGCCATTGTGCGGAACATGCCATTTGCAGCTGCGTTAAGGCTGTTGTTACCAGCGGCCGATGCTGCTGCAGCTAAAGGAAACACAGATAATTAAGGGAAAGTTTTATTTTACTTTTTATAGTTTACAAATCTTAAAGACCATGTTTATACATTCATTTCACATAGAGGCATTTAATAAATATTCATCCATGACACTAAACTCAGGAGTTAAATCTTAAAAATGCATTCATGTACCCCAACTATTAACAAAAATGTGTCTTATTTGTATATCACTCGGCTGCAGATCCCCAAATCATCTCTGAATTGGTGCTGACACTGTTCTTCCTTCTGGAAGGGGGGCTACTTCCGTTCCCCATGGTCCCTGTGTGTGTTGTAAAGTAGTCACTGCTCCAAGCTCGCTCCTGTGATGGACTACAATCTCAATACAAATTAGTAGGGATGCACCAATATGTGTTTTTCGGTATCGAGTAACGGTGCCCCGATTATCAGGAAGTCGGGCAGCGGATCATGAACCGTCGCCCGGCTTCCTGATTGCCTTTGAAGCCAGTGTTCTAGCGAATGAACACCGGCTTCACTTGCCGAGGCTGCCTGACCAATCAGAGAGCCGGGCGGCGAGTCATGAGGTGCCACCCGGCTTCCTGATTGGTCTGGAAACCAGGCTGCCTAGGCAAGTGAGGCGGGCTTCCTACTCAATCAGGAAGCCGGGTAGCACGTCATGGCTCGCAAAGTGGCTTCCCGATTGGCTCGGAAGCCGGCTTCACTTGTTGTTGGGCAGCACGGCTTCCTGACCAGTCAGGAAGCCGGGACATGCGCCATGACGCTAATTGGTTAGGAAGCCAGGCTGCCTAGCAACAAGTGATGCCGGATTCCTAGGCAATCAGCAAGCCGGGTCATAACCCACCGCTCAGCTTCCGGATTGGAAAGGAAGCCAGCTCCATGCTCCCTCGGCACTGCCGGTCAGAGGGAGATTCCCCTCTGACCGGAAGTTCCAGTATCGGGGGCAAGTATTGGAGCATTTGGGCAAGTACGAGTACTCGCCCAAATACTCGGTATCGGCACCGATACTAGTATTGGTGCACCCCTACAAATTAACCAAATGTGGCTCTAATAACCGGGCACATGTGGAAGAGTTAAAAAAAACAACCCAAAAAAAAGAGACTTGGATACGGCCACTTTTGTTACCTTAGCATATCTAGATGGTGTGGGCTGGCACAGACAACGTGCCTCCAACTGACAACTTTTACAATTTGTTTTTGTAACACAACTTCATTGCTATCACATGACAAGCTCGCTATGTGATAGCTGATTAGTGGGGACAGGTTGTCTTTAAGTAGACATTTGTGGTCAATTAGGGCCGGTTCACACCACAAACAGTGCGTTCCAGAGCTGTCAGGTTCTGGAGCGCACTGTATCGCAACCTGGACAGCTACCTGGATTTAAGGGCTGGACGGGGCATGGGGGTGCATTGAAGTTAATGGCACTGCAGCCACGCCCCCCGCAGTCCAATCGCTCGCACCCGAACGCGTGGCACACCAGTGCCTGTGTTCCTCCCCAGTGCAATCTGCAAAAATAGTGCTTGCAGCATCTTTGCAGATCAAACTGAACTGGAACGCAGGCACTAATGTGCCACGCGTTCGGGCAATCGCACTGCGGGTGGGGGGCATGGCTGCCATTAACTTCAAAGCACTGCCATGCCCCCTCCTACCCCTGAACACAGGGAGCCTTCCAGGTTTCCGATACAGTGCGTTCCAGAGGCTGACCGCTGTGGAACGCACCGTTTGTGGTGTGTACCGGCCCTTAGACCCTACTACCGTGTTTCCCTGAAAATAACACACTGTCTTATATTTTTTTGGCTCAAAAAGACACACTAGGTCTTATTTTCGGGGTAGGATTTTTTTTTTTTAATGTACAACAATCCACACTTATTCATGTACAACAGTCTACATGTATTCATGTACAAAAATATGGTGATCAGGGAAATCAGGGTTGCCGTACCTTTCCAAAATCAATTTGGTAACCAATCGCTGGCCAGAATGCGCGAAGCGCACTTTCACTATCGATTCCTCACAGGCGGAGTGCATTTGGTATCACTCCGCCTGTGACAGGAGCCGGCGCTATAGAGGAGGCATCGGCTTATGCGGCTCTGCTCCCTCCGGTGCCGCCTTGCTTCCTCTAGCGCTGGCTTCGTTGGCACCGCCGATTCTCTCCTGCCTCTCCCCCGACTCTTCAAGGTCCCCTTTATGCCACCACCGGCCCTGGGAATGGTCACAACTAGGTCTTATTTTCGGGGAAACAGGGTATCACATTTGCAGCTTAATGAACCTATGTACCCATTGTACTTGATTAGCTTCATCCCCGACCGCAGCAACCAGAGAATGATAGCTCAGAATCTGGAAGTGAGGGAATCCTCGTCATTTTAGGGTTCTTTGAATGGAGAAGAGATCAGCAAACATGATCGCTAAACTACTTCCCCTGCCGTGGCTGCCCCAGGACCCGTGAAGGGCAGCGGATTCTAGGAAACATGGTATGGGGTGGCAGGTGACATGCTGGAGGCTGCTGGAAGTGATGTGGTTTGAATCACTTCCAGAATGTAGTCAGGAGTCGGCTGAAAGTAAACTGACTCGCGGCTGCTGTCAGCATACAGAGATGAGCTGCCACAGATGCAGTACTTCTGTTCAAGTCAGCAAAATGGTTAAGAAGGTCTGTCACAGACAACAAAGGACTCTGGGTTAGAATATTACCTAATTTATATAGTAGCCATCGCTCTCCGCAAAAGAAAGAAAGAATTATAGGTTATGCTTCACCTAAAATTATAATAAACCTAAACACGATGAAAAGGTCAAAACAGTTCATCTTTACAATAATGTAAACTTTTAAAAATAATCAGGAAATGGGATCATACAAATAAAGATGAACATGCACTACAGGACATCGACAGAAGAGGGTTTATTACATACCGGCTTGAGCCGCAGCAGAACTGATGAGGACTGGGGTAGACGCCACCAAACGTACTTGGGCTGCCAGTCCACCTCTTGCTCCTGGGCCAACCACCAAGGCACCATTCTGATCGTAATAAGCAGTAGGGGTAAGGACCTGATAGCCTATACAATTTGTACCAGATTAGTACATCTCATAAAACGAACAAAAAACAAACAAAAAAGTATTGGACTAATCCCCAGTACCTGACATACTGGTGGCCAGACCCTGTCCGAATGCCAGGGCGGAATTTGCCAGATTGTCATTCTGTTGTCCTTGCTGTCCTTGGTTTGGTGTTAATGGTCTCTGGTTTGTGGCAGAGCGCATAACCTGCAATGAGATTGTAATCAATCCGTGGAAACTGAAGTAAAAGCACAAGCTGGGTCCATCAATTTGGGCAACATAAAGCCATCCCTAGTCCTGAACCATGGAGGCCTAAAGGTGAATTTCCAGTACCTTGGTGAGAAGTGGGGTGGGGGACCTGAAAGCTGATGGACAGGCATGGAGGTGACAAACACACAATACCCATCTCATTTGTGTCCACAGATCGGGAAAATTAATCTTGCTGCAATAACACCAATTTATACATTTTATACTATTGCCGACACAGCTGAAACGCTAGGATCTAGTAGTAAGATCTGGGGCTTAAAGGAATGTACTTTAAATATTTGCCCTCTTTTTAGCAGGAAACATCTGTATGTTAGTATAAAAGCCTTGTTACCATGCATAGTTTGTAATTGCATATGTACATGGGGCAGCCATATCCCCTCATTAAATATGCAGGTTGCGTCTCCTGTATTGTGGTGCTACACAGTTTTACTTTCTGTTCCTTCTTACAACACAAATCTTTGGGACGGTGCACACATCCTCACTTTGTGGCCCTTTGGGCAGGTTCACATAATTTTCCAGACCAGATCTGGAACACAGTACATTGCGGTGTGCGGCGTTTTTACCCCGATTTTGCTGCGTTCCGGAGCAGTTTTTTTTTTTTAACTTAGGACTCATTCACACCACGAGACCAGATCTGGTCTGGAAAATGGAGTGAACCTGCCCTTAAAATAGGCTTTCAGGTGCATTCTTGATGTGTTTCTATGCGTTCCAGTGCATTCCAGACCAGACAAAATGAGACATGCAGTATTTTTCTGGTCACGAACGAACTGTGCTGGTGTGAACTGAGGCCAGAAATAGCATAGGGATACATTAGGATGCATTTTGGGCCCGGAAACAATCTGGCTGTGGTGTGAATGGGCCCTTAAGGAGCTGCTCAGCAGCTGCAAGATTTCTGGCTAGGTAGACATTCCATCTGCGTGGTAAAATCTTAATTCATTTATATAGAGATTGAATCCACCATTGGGATACATGAAATACAACCACTCAATAGGTACAAACATGCACCTCTTAGCTGGTCACAACAGTGCAGATCTGGCAGGAGTGAGGACAGGAACTACAAAACGTTTGGAAGCGGTGGTGTAAACAATCCAACAACAAAAATGTGCCATCGGTCATTACCAGGGGGTCCCAATCTCCTGATGGATTACTTTTATATTATGGAAAGCAGGAAAGCCAGTGGGGCACCTGGAAAGATTTCTGGCAAGAGTAAATATTCAAAAATGGGCAAAAAGTCTGGTTCTATGGAGATCTCAATGGTGGATTTCCAGAGATTACTAAGCAGTCCACAGTTGGTTCAGCCTGCCAGACGCCAATATTTTTTAGTGCATAGACAATTTAAATCTGATGGTTGCTGTGTATTTTACGTACCTGCTGTTGTCCCTGGGATGCCTGTGTTGCTGCCTGTTGGTTGTTGTTGTTTGCAGCAGACGCAGCTGCTGCAGCAGCTTGTTGCTGAAATAATCCAGCTGGATACACTCCCCATGGTACCCCGTAATATTGTGGGGGAACAACCGTAGGTCCTAAAAAGAGGTTTAAATACGCTCATTAGAGGAAGTAATGTACATACTGTACAGCAGACACTGAAACCACTCTACATTTACAATTTATACCGCCAATTACACAGCCGTGCACAAATCAGTAATTTCCCACATTTATTTAAATCTCTGATGAATCTGTAGCAGAAAGCGTCAACATGTATATAAATCCAAATAAATACGTTCTGGAAATTGCGCCTTTTTTGTTTGCAAAAGTAGTTGTGCAATGCTACTTTTATATCGGTGTGAGTTCATGTTTCACAAATACCTGATGATCCTTCCAGTTTCTGCTTCCTTTGATGTCTTTTATAATAGGGTGACCACCAGCTTCCAATTCTGCAGATCAGTGGTCTCCTTGTACTTTCATCTAATCTGCTGCAGTGCATGCACTATTTTTCTCAACTGCACTGCAACGCACGGTTTTGCGGTACCATTCATTGCAGTGTGGTCCAGCTCACTTTCGAGGCGCCATTCAAATGCATGATTGGGGGGACTCTTATATAACCCCCACAAGGTCTTGACTGTCTATTACTGCCCTGGTGCCCTCATCCTTCCACAGCGCATAACTTGGCTATCTGGAGGACCCTTTCAAGGTTCCTACAGGCATTCAAGAGCTGATACAGAAATTACTCTAGATAGCTGGAACCTCAAATTTGGAGTCCAGCACTCCACCAACTTCTGATATTCTGTATGTGGCCATCACCTCGCCTCTGTGTCTGAGCCATATTCTCATCTATGTAAACTGTGGTGTTAATTCAACCGTGTTTGGTCATTCTGAGACTGATGAAGGGGACCCTGTTTTTTGAATGGCAATTTTCTTTGATTAAATGGACTCTTGTTAATTTCATTTGAACCATGGTGTGCTGGTGCCATTCTTTGAACATTTCAGTTGTTGACGGTGCCATCCGTTGTCGCTGGAAGCACCCACCTGTTTTATCAGGTTACTACTTATATAACCGGTAAGGAGAGCAGCAATATATTTATCGATATATTAATCACAGCACTGAGTGCAAGGGTTGGACACAGATAGGGTATCTCATGTAGCAGACTGAAAGTTACTCGCTTTGACATGTACACAAGGTAAAATGTTACTAAAACTCAGTCACTTCGGCAACTCTTCAATATAAAGCAATAACAGATTAAGAATTAGCTTTGCACTTATTAAAAAAAAAACAAAAAGAAACACTAACTCTACTTAGCAGCTCTTAGCTGGACATACCTGCCAAAGATGCTGCAGCAGCGAGGCCGGCTGCGGTGTATGGATCTGTGCCAGGGTGAGCCGTGCTGATGATATAAGGGTTTGGCATAAAGGCAGCTGGAGCCAGACCTGCTGAAAACATACCAGCTGAAACAAAAAAAACTCTTATGAAATAGGACATGACTTTCACACACAGATCATTCAACTAGAACATCTATCCTTTATCAGATGCATCTGCACTTCGAAACAACATACATGCATAGTGTGTAAGCTCTGCAGTGTGCAAGTGCCATTAGAAGATTTCTATGAACACATATTAAAGCTGAACTCTGAGATACACAACTTTTTCTAAATACAAGCAGCATGTGTATTCTTACTTCTTGGTGCAATTCGTGTATTTCTTTCCAAGATCTGTGCAGTAATTTGGTTGAAACATTCTTTGTGTGCTACATGCACTTGGTCCCCTGGGAAATTGAGCAAGGATTTTCTTATGTTGTGTGATAGTTAATCCCGGCTCATGCTACCTAAAAGTACATTGTGTCAATGCCTCTCCTATTAAAATCTAAAGCATCAGTGTGATAGGTGATTGCCCTAGCATAATACATTGGGTGTCATCTGCTACATCTGAACAGCGACACTCCTTGTTCACACCTCTTTGGGTATCTTTGTCAAAGAAAAGAGTTGGCACGTAGTACACAGAAACATCCTGGTGTCATCCTTCAGACAATATCAAGTTACATTCTATGTTACAGTTACACATAGCCAGTATCAGACCACCAGTACTTCCTGGTAACACAAAGGGTACTGAAGCAGTAAAGGCAGCAACATAAAAGGCAGGTTGTAATAGAAACAATCCAGAGAATGCTTGGCTTACCAATGTGAGACTGCTGGGCTGCTGCCAGGGCGTATTGCTGCTGCTGCTGTTGCTGGGCTGCATTTAATTGCTGCATGGTTAAAGCGTTGGGTCTCTGGAAGAGCTATGGGAAGAATGTACATAGTGAACAAGACAGAAAAGTCAGTTTACCAGGGGCAATACAGTTTAGGAGGAAAGATTTCTGCCACTAATTTATGTAAAAGAGCCTGTGCACTCCAGCTCTAGGACTAGAGGGATGACACAGATCTATCTAGATCAGCGGTTCTCAACCTGTGGGTCTTACTAGTGGGTGGCCGCATCCATTTCTGCTGCGCTGGGTGAGAGCCTCCTCAGCCTCCTCCTTGCGCAGCAGTGTCAGTCAGCGGGAGGAGAGCAACAGCTGTGAATATAAAAGTGCCGCTATACACACTCCCTGGCCGTTGCAGCGACATCTAGTAGCCGGGGAGTGTGTACAGCAGGACCTTTCTATTCACAGCCAGTGCTGTCTTCCTACCTCCCATACAATGTGAGCTCTGCAGGAGGCGGGCGTCTAAGCAGTGCTGGGGCAGAGAAGGCAAGCAGGGGCTGGGGAGGGCTTGTATTCTTGTGAGTGTGCTTCTATTTTTATTCCTAAGTCCAGTGTGTCAGTGTGATCACCGAAAGGGGTTGGTGGGGGTAATTCCACTTTCCCAGATTCACCTGCATTCAATGTTAAAATGCATAGTACTGACGGACATGAAAGTCTGGGATACTTTTTGGGGCTTCGGCTCTTTAGATGTTTTTTTATTCCCCAGGCTTTTAAAAAACAGATTTTAGGGCTTTAAAATTGGCAAACTGACAGTTGCAGACTCGAGAAAACAAAGAAAAAGTAAAGCCCGCTGTCCACAGCAAATATCGCCATTTAAAAATGGCAAACTTGTCACTAATGACTGCACAAGGTATCTGTTTTCATAGTGTTTTTTGGGAGCGCAGGATGATTTACGGTGTATCTTCGTTTCCTGATGTCTGTGCACTAATGGAAAATGTACTACGAATGTAGATTACTTTAGCCTCTGGATGTTGTCTTTAATGACCATGCTTGCTCATTGGTGATTTTGTTAAAGAATAATAAAAAAAAAAAAAAAAAAAAAAAAAGGCAAACTAAAAGAGCTTCCTGCTGCGCGCACCTCTGAACTCTTCTGTATATAAAAGAGAGAAGCCCGCTGAAGAGTGTTCAGACACTGTTGGGATCCCACCCTGTAGGATATAGCAATGGGATGGTGGTCAGCAGAAACGCATATCTGACACACATGGAAATGTGTTGTGTGTGGAACACTTCTCAGCGGAGTTCAGAGGCGCAGGCAGTGGGATGGGTAAGCATTATTAGTTTTCTTTGAATGGAGCTATTTTATTTTTCGTCCTCCTTTAAATAGTGACAGTGAGTCCCTCAGTGTTAAGAGTTCAAATGATGCCCAAAAAATTAAAATCAAGGAAACTAACCTGCTGCTGGGTTCCATAATCAAATAGTCCAACACCACCCCCGCCAGAGTCCATTGGTAAGGGATTACCAGGGTAGTCAAACTGCAAAGAATCCAGACCGACTTGCTCCATCCCATCCAAGTTCTGGCTTTCAGGTGTTGCAAACTCGTCGTTCAGGGGCTTGTTGACCATGGGGTTTGAGAGCTGTCCGAGTCCATCTGTGACATTCTGGTTTGGGCCCATTCTCTCGGCTATCTCGGTGGGAGAAGCCTGCCGACTTCCTGGGGTACGGCTGTGTAGAATGAGGACAGGCAAACATTAAAGACCTGGCTTGATCTATATTATTCTGTTACATATTTCAATATCAGGAAAATGTACTAAGGAGACCCCGTCAGCACAGGGCCACTTTGCATACCGGTAATAGAAGGGACACTATGCTTACGTTTCTGGTGGCCTATTGCCATTATGCTACCTCTTTGCTTCTACCCGGCTGGGGCTAGTAGTATTCAACAAGCTGGGGGGGTGGAAAACCTGTGTCCCACACAGCGGTTCCTCCTGCGGGATTATGCATCCTGTACTTATGTACAAGCCAACAGGAGCAACCACAGCATGCAGAGGGGGAGCAGGTCTTCTATTTAGAAGTGTGGAATACTTGCAGCTGCCAAGTGAAAAGGCAACATAACGAAGGGGCCACCAGAAAGGTAAATATAGTGCCGCTTCTACAAAGAAAAGAAGAAAGGAGTTTGTTAGTTTTAACATATAAAGTTACATAGTTAGTCAGGTATATGTCTTTGCAAAACAAAGGAGGGAAAAATCACTCCAATACATGCACATATGTCCATGTTTCACCTTTGAGAATGCTATAATTAGAGAAGTATGCCTGTTGATCCTGCCAGAAACCCAATGATCTCATAACTTCCCGTGCTATACGGAAAACAAACTATGTTAACAGCTCTGATCTGCAGGACACATCCCCCCAAATGGTAGAGATGAAGTGTGCTGTAGTCCGAACGCTTTCTGTGCTACAGTGACAATGCTGCTCCTCAATAGGTACAGTGCAGCGATTCTTTGTCAGGAAGTGTTACTGGCAGGATCAACAGGTGAATGTACAGAAAAGCATTGAAAAAAAATAAAAATAAAAAGCAGCCACATCTAAGCAGCCACCAATCAGCTGCAAGCTTTATTTGGGTATTCTGACAGCGTCTGGTGGCATACAATGCAAGCAGCGGGGGATTTGTCCATTCACACTGTTCCGCATGGATGAAGGAATCTTATATTTTTCTTGTTCAGCCCGCAAGTTGAAAGGGGAAAATATAGGTGAATACCCAACTTTAGATACACTTTAAGCTTGGCAACACTGCCAAAGACCCAGCTTTGTTTTTTCAGCCCCATGATTTAAGTGTCCTCTAACAGACCAGGTCATGGGCACCCTGTAAAAGTTTAAACTTATAATTTGTTTCCCCTTCCAACACTAAGGGGGTTATTCACAAAGCTAGCCGAAGGATAAGCCGTAGCTCCGGCTGATCCTTCGCCTAACTGCGGCCCCAGAGCCCTTTGGTGCAGTAGAACCGAAGGGCTGCTGTACGGGCCACTCACTATAGCCCTACAGCAGCCAAAGTCGGCCGAGCGGCTCAGCCGAGCCGAAGGCATATGCTTTGGCTCGACTGAAAGTGACACCCGAAGCCTCGCAAATGACAGCTGGGCGGACCAACCCCAAATAGCGTCTTCTATTGACTTTTTGGGGTACTGCATTTTTTTGCCGTTTCACGGACGCACGCAATTTGTAACCTAGACATGTTGGGTATCGTTTTACTCGTTGTAACCTCATCTTTTATATGTCATTTAAAAAATTGGTATTTTGTTGTGTTTTGGGGCATTAAATTAAATTTTTCACTAAATGTTGGGGTTTAATAAGGAGTTTGCAACTACCACCATTTTATTATATAGGGTCTTGGCAGTCAGAAAATATATAATGTTGGGGGGTTTTAAGTCATTTTCAGGCCTAAAATGTGGAATATAACATGGGTGCAAAAAATGAAAAAAGGGCCTCAGTCATGAAGGGGTTAATCAACTGGGTGGAGCCGGTCGTGATTTACAAAATCTTTATTTTTTTAAAAATGTATTGACATTTATTAAACTTTTTTTTTTTCCTTCCATTGATTTCCTATTCTGCTCAGAATAGCTTAGCGGCATTCGGCCATTTACTTACTGCCGTATGTGCATAGGGGCGAACGGCAGCGAGTGAGCTGCTGTTGGATCGGCTGAGTTGAAGTCCTTCTGCAGAGCATGTTTGGCTGACCAAAATGCAGCTGAAGCCAGCCGTACAAGCCTGAAGTGAATAGCCGAACAGCGTCCGGCTCACTTCACTTCGGGTGGGTTATTCACTTGGCTGCCTTCGGCAACTTTGTGAATAACCCTGTAAATTACTAATTAGGAGTGAAGAACCTCTTTGATCTTTTCCACACTCACTTGAAGTCTTTGCAGTCTGCGTCAATCCCATTTGGAAGGCCTCGGCCATTCAGCTTTGAAACCTCATCGCCATCAGTAGATATCAGATCCCGCTTCATGTCCTCTTCAAACGGAGATGCCTTTCCTTTCTGTTCCCCTTTCTCTGGTCCATCCAAATCACAATCTCTAGCACCCTACAAAGGGAAAAAAAGAAGTTCAGCAGCTGCTTCTCACAACTCTGATCACACAAGATTAAGTAAAAACCTAATTCGCCCCCCCATCACTTTCACCTGTGAGAATAGCTGGAATCATATTGGCTACTATGAAAGCCACAACTGCCCCCTAAATCTGTACATCAGAGAACTGGCACTTACGTAGGTTCCTTTCCGAAATCTCGGGTCGATTTTATCGGCAGGCGAGGAGCTCAGAACATACTCCACCATGCTCACTCCCAGACCGCCACTTTCTGACCGGGGAGAGAGTACCGAATTCACATCGTGGCTCCCTTGGAAGCCTTGCCCAGGTCTTCGCTGTACCATGATTGGTTGGGACATGGAATGGTCTAAAATACAAGAACAGATATATTTTACTAGTAGCATGCATATGCAAATGTCACTATTACAGAAGACACCAACCCATAAAAGTGTGTGTGTGTGTCGCTCGCTTGTATCAGAAGCTGTCACTGCCGTTGCCGGTCCCGAGATCCGCTGTGCCCGATGCGGCCGGGACCGGCACGGCTCTGTGACAGGAGATCAAAGGGAGTTCAGTACACGAACTCCCTTTGATCTCCTCTCAGTCCCCGAATGCAGGAAGTGATGTATATTACATCACTTCCTGCATTCAGTGTCACTCTCCAGCTAGAGAAGCTGATGAAGCCGATCTCTGCTTCATCAGCTTCTCTGGAGGTCCCTAGGTGACATTAGGGGTCTTGGAGACCCCTGATGTCTCCCTAAAGAGGACCTGTCATGTAAATTGGCTATCCCATAGGGGGCTTCTTAGCCCCCCATGTAATAGCAATAAAGTTGTATGGTAAAAAAAAAAAAAAAAATTATACAAAAATGAAATTCATAAAAAAAAATAAAGAAGCATAACATTTTTTTTAAACAGTTTTGTTTTTTTAAGTCCGCGCCCCCCACATACACACGCATATATGCGTCAGGTGCGCCTACATGCCGCATATGTTGCATATCGCTGCCATTAAGGCCGGGTTCACACCTGGGCGTTTTACAGCGCTGATCGACGCACTGTAAAACGCCCTGCACTTGGGCGTATTTCAGCGTGTCGGAACGTGCTGAAAAACGCCCTATGCCCAAAGTACAGGAGCTTCTTTGGGGTGTATTTCCGCGCTTATCCATTAGGATACAGCCGGATAGCCCTTGTAAACGCGCGTTTGACTGCAAATCGCGGTTAAAACATGCACCCCACTGTCCTGCCGTTACCCTAAGGAGAACTATGGGGAAAAGCCCTGACCCCATAGTTCTCCTTTAATCACTGATAACACTAAACTGATGAACAGTAAAAGCGTTTTAATCGTCACCTATGGGCGTTTTTTTGCGGGCGCCTGACTTTTATGTTTTACTAAAAATATGGGCAAGAATAAATGTTTTATAACATAACGTAGGGAAACTTTTTTTTTTTACATTTATGGTACTTTTTTAATTATATAGTAAAAAAAAAAAAACCCCCATTGTGATTATATACCTCCAAAAGAAAGCGCTATCTGTGCCCAAACTTTTTTAACATAAATTGCAAGGCTATAGTCCGGTCATGCTGACTGGTGAAATTTTTGACTGACACACAATTGTTAATGATTACACACTAAGAAAAACTCCAAATCTACCACTAACGCAAACCAAAAATGAAAATCTAAACAAATGTATACAATGATTATCTAGCATAAAATGAATAGGTGGTGGAGCCCAGGTACAATATCAGCGGATAAGATTTGAAATAAGTATATGCAGATCGGGTGAGGAATAGCAAGTAGCTGCATGGGTGTAAGCAATCTGCTGCTTTTCCGGGATCTTATACACAAGAATTTGTATGACTCTCCTGACCCTACAATGGATGTAGGCCTGTGGTGACCTTATATCACAAGCTTATTATGGAGCATACGAGCCAAAAAAACATTGAGAAGTAAATTACATATAATGCGTATTAGCAAAAAATCTTATATGGCGACCCCACAAATGTCCAGACAGCCATTATAATACCAGGCTACAAACATGTGCCATCCTTACCATCTTGTCTTGAATTGTATTGTGATTGTAATGTCTGCCCTATATTGTAAAGCGCTGCGCAAACTGTTGGCGCCATATAAATCCTGTATAATAATAATAAGCCTTGAAGTTCGGTGGGTTACAATGCTATTACATTACATGACTGTGATACACGTTTGCCACTAGATGGCAGCAATGATCAGATCTGAAAACACTCCGGTACTGGATTGTACTAGGACCAGGTCGTCATCCATATTTTGTGCATATTGCCACCTTAAAGTGATAAAGTCAAAAGGATTTTGAGCTACTTTAAATGCTGATGAAATCACATACAATGGAAGCTGCTTCTTCATGTTTAAAAGTTTTTGTTTCCTGCAGAATCAGCTGCTCCCGATGTCCTGTTACCTCCTATCTCAAGCAGAGTGCTATGGAGCCACCCTGTTGTGTGCTAGTAAGCCGTGTGCGTCTCCACAAAGAGACACAGCAAATCAAGCTACTTCTCCCTCCTCCAAGCTAGTAGATGAACAGTTGCTGGAGTCAACACTGTCCTTTGTGATCTTGTACTTGGCAGGAAGTTTAGGGAAGCTGAGCTGAGAGACTTGGAAGCAGTGTCTGAACAATGTAACATTATCACTGCATGCTGGAAGCAATGCATGATGGGTGATGTAGTCATGAGAAATGGAGATCACATCAAGCTGCACAGAAAGAGATGCAAAGCACACTGGGAATCCAGGAAGTTGTTAGAAGTGATGGACAGACAGAAGTACAGTGGTACCTCGGTTCACAAACGCTTCGGTTCGCGGACAAGTCGGTCGCGAACAGGAAGTTCGGAAAAATGTTGCCTCGCGATCTCCGCTTTGAGGTGACGAACACAATCGCAGCCATTTTCCCTGCTCTGACATAATGGTCATGCCTTCCTCTAGTCGAGATTGCGGTGTGATCACAGTTTGATTCGGTTCACGACCAAATCGCGGAACGAATTAAGTTCGTGAACCGAGGTACCACTGTATATATTTCTATTACAATGATACTGTTATAACAGAAGAGGATATGCTGGGACTTTACAACTCCTTTACATAGCTGCTGCAATCCCAGTGCTTTATGTACACATTCATCTTATTAATCCATCTCTCTCTGCGATTCTCACTAATTGTGCACTTCATACATTTTAACTTTTGTAGCTTTTGATCAATTAGGGAAGGGTGAGGAGCACTGTCTTTTTCTAGGAAAAGGTCACTGAGCTAAGAAGCTAGAAGGGAACATAAAATGGGGCACAGGAAGCCCCTTAAAAGCTTTTATTGCTTTCCTATCAACATGCTAGGGCACGGGAGGGGGCTAGCAGAGGGCACGGGAGGGGGCTAGCAGAGGGCACGGGAGGGGGCTAGCAGAGGGCTGTGGGGATGAGGACAGGTTATGGAGATAAGGACAGGTTAGAGGGATGAGGGGGAGGTGGTAATGGAAATGGAGGGTTTATGGGGAGGAGGTTATGGAGGCGAGGACAGATTATGGAGAGACGGATAGGCCTGTGTTCTTTGTAATCCATTACAAAATGTAGTAGGCCGGGCTGACACCACATCCTTGGGAATTCAGAGTGTCGAAGAGGAAGGTAGGAGCACACTATATATCCGATTCATCAACAGTTATTTTGCTGTACTTGCGGTATGTTCAAAGAGAGGCCTTTCATTTGGTCTCGTCATACAGCAGGGAAATGGCAGAAAGCATTGACTTTCAGAAAACACTACAATAGCACATTTTACACATTCAATTCTCAACCAGGAAACACAGACAACACAAGTCAAATAATTCAATAGATAAGAACTTACGAGACTGCCCCCAAGCGTTCTCCCGCCATTCATCTGCTAGGTACATCCCTTTCTGGCCATCTTTAGATGGGTCATCTGGCTCCCAAAACTTTTTGGCTGGTAACAACTATGAAAAGAGAAGAAGAAATATACATTGTGATGTACCAGATCAGGAAAAATAAAACTCAACACTCCTATCACTTCCGCACCCTCGGGGGTCAGTCAGAAGTAGGCAACCTTGGCACTCCAGCGGTGCTGAAACTACATGCGTCTGTCTCTGGGAGCCATGCCTGTGGCTGTAAGTTTTGCAATGTCTCTTTGGATTTGTAGTTCCACAACAGCTGGAGTGCTGAGGTTGCTTCCAGCAAAGTAGTGAGAGATAGACATGATCGCAGAGAGAGTAATAAAAGTATCATGTGGCCCTTAGAGTTTTGCTCTCAGCCTTTCTCCATTGCCAGGAGTGAGGAACATGAAGTCCCAAGTCTCTCCAGAGCCTGTTTGTGCCCAGCCCCAGAGACCCGTATGCCGTGGCATTTGAAAGCCTTGCACCAATACTGACAGTCCTGAGGTGGGGAGAAAGGGAGTACATTAACAATGCTGTGCTTCAGGTAGTGTTTGGCAAAACGATTCATTCCATGTTAAAATGGAAATTCCACTTTCACAAGTGAATTTGGGAAAATTGAATTACCCCCCGCTGATCTGCCCGCTCTCTCCCCCCCTGCTGCTCTTACCTATGATCGCTCCTTCCCCTCCACAGCTCCCGGTGTAATAGCCACACGCCATACATGGGATTGCAGCCCTGCAGTATGCATTCCACATGGGGAGCACTTATTGGTCACATGACAGCGCTAACCAATTGAATGCAAATTTTGAATTCATACAGCAGACCTGTAAACCCATGTACAAAGGATGGATTTTACATTGGAAGCCGTGGTGGGAAGAGAGTGATCATGGACAGGTAAGAGCACCGGGGAGCAGAAAGGAAGGAGGGCAGGTGGTTAGAAGAGGCAGATTGGCAAGGGCCTAGAGGGGGCAGGTCGGTGACGGGGAAGGAAGGAGGGCGGGGGGCAGATTGGTGACGGGGAAGGAAGGAGGGC